ATTAATTAAAAAATAATAGCAGTTGTATAATTAAGGTTTAGGCACAAAAAATTAGTTATATTTATTGTTTTTCAAATATACCTACAAATCAAAATTATAATAAATTTGATATTAAAATGATAAACCAGTTACCTACTATACCTGCTTTGAAGTTTTGACAGATTCAAAAAGTTTAAAAAAAGACCTTTAATTTGTAGAAAAAGAATAGATATTGACATAGATTACTTGTAAAATTAGTTTTGTAATTTGTTACAATGTTATTTTTTTATTAGTTAGTGTAAATAACTATTTTTAATTATAATAAAGATTTAGGCATACCATTTGTTTAAATTTATTATAATTTACATTATAAAATTGTGACGGCACAAAATGGTTTGACAATACAAAAAACTTAAATGTCAAAAACTGCTTGGTTTCTTTTTTCTGTTTAAAATTACGCTTATATAAGCGTTACTATTCTTACGAAGTCGTAGAGAAAATAATGTCTGAAACACGTTTGGAATAGCATATTCCACTCTCGTAAAACCGTCACACTCGCCTTCGGCTCGTGTGTCAAATTTTTCCTCGAGCGGAATATGCTGTATTCCAAACTTGTTACAGAATGTACTATTCTAAGCGTACAATAATTTTCATATGAACACTCATAAACCTCTTTATTAATAGGTACTAGTTCAAAAGTCAAATTATTATTATTATTATTATTATTATTATTATTATTATTATTATTATTATTAATATTATTATTATTATTATTATTATTATTACTATTATTATTATTATTATTATTATTATTATTATTATTTAACTTTGTACAAAAATAAAGCTAAAATTTCATCATGTCAGTTAAACCTAACCCAACAATAATGTGAAAGAATCTTAAGAAATTATTTTATTAAATTCTGGAAAAAGATGTACCTATATAAAACCCGGGGGCGAAACACAATCTACTTCCTTGACTGTCGCCTCGGCAGTAAAATGTAGGTATGCCTTCTCCATAATCTACTTTAAAACCCGTTTTTTTAATTGGACATTAAGCCTGCAGATCATGATTTATAGCAATACATCAAAAACGTTTTTTTTTTGTTAATTTTCTAGCTACCCTTATAAACTGTGATTTTTATTAATCGTCATAACAGTCATTCCATGACAAACGATACTGAGGGTGAAAAAATAAATAAGTTCTTTTCGCATTAAATTTGATGAATTTTAAAAGAAAACATTCCAAATTATTATGTCGAAATACGAAAAAAAATCTGTCAATCTGTCTATCGTTTTGACACGTTGTGATTAAAGGTTATTTATCGTATTATTGGTGAATTGCGTCACAGTCCCGAAAAAATTGATAATTATCACGTTATAAGTGTGTTTTCTTGTTACTTTGACACTGTAACACCCGAAACGAAAAATCAGGTAATTGTTTTATTATTATACAGATTGATTAGTGTAATAATATTTAGTAAAAGTAAGGTTATGGTCGTAATGATTTAAAATACTATCTCATATCTGAGCATAAGACTAATTTGATATGTTTTTTTCTTGATTAAACAACGTAACTCCAGAAACGTTTCGGGTGTCACAACTTTTTTCATATGCCGATATATGTGTGTGTATTGCTTGAAGAATGCAATAAGTATTATTTTTAAGGCTCTTTCGACGGCCCACTAGTGCCGACACCGGAAAAGCAGTCACACTTCTTTTAAAGAGGTGTGACTGCTTTTACAATGGTGTTGTCGAACCTACCGAAATTTCGGCATTTCTACCGAAATGGCAACGGACCTACCAAAATACCAAATACTACGATTTTCGTCAATAATTATGTTTCTACCGATTTTTTTTACCGATTTTTGGCAATAATAACGATTTAACCCGTTTTGCCGATTTATCAATCGTAACCGAAGCTGCTTAAAGTTATGTTAAAGGAGAATTCATTCTATTTATGTTTATTTGTTACTTACTTATTTTGTGCTACTTAGAGACTAATAAAACACCAATTTTGTCCATATAAAGTGTTTAATTTTTGTACTTGTAACACCCGAAACAGAACCATGGTAACACCCAAAACAAAGTAAAATTTTATGAAAAAATAGTACCTAAAACTTTATTTGTAACAGTGATTATATGGTAGATGGTTAGTAAATATTATACTTTTGGATGCGTGTAATTGTTAGGAAAGTTTCCCTAAAAAAATTCGCTGAATTTTTAAATAAATCCAACAATGATCAGGACAAAATCGTGAAACACCCGAAACACACACTTTTCGACTTATTAAATCGTTATCCTACATGCTAAACTGTACTAATTCTACACTTTAGTTAGAACAACTAAAAACGTAGAGGTTATACTTTGGTTGAACAAATGTAACACTCGAAACGATGACAGTTACTGTCCAAATGTGTTCATTAGTTAATCAAAAATAGTCAGTGTTAAACCTATTTAACTTTTGACTTCATTTGACTTCATTTTCGTGTTTTACATGTGAATCGACTTTTAAATACTCGAGATACGATTTTTTTATTTTTATTAGTATATATGGATGATTTTACAAAAGTTGGGCAACTTTTGACCTCATTTTGTTTATATAGTTTTCGGAGAAAATTAAACAGTATTTTGTTATGAAAACATAGGTAATATAATAAATATACTCTTCCAGACCGGGCCAGTCACTTTTTCAAACAGTTTCTGAAATATCTGTGTTTTCTAAATTTGAATGCAAGGGAAGTGACGAGTATACCAGGGTACTAATTAAATACATAATTTATTGGAAAATATAAGATTTATTGCAACTTTGAGCATATTATACATTAAATATCTTAAAATCAAATAATACCACACATCAGTGGCGGCTGGTAGATTTTGGGTATACCGATATCTCAATTATTAGATATGGGACCCACATCAAATTTATATGAGTTTATAATAACAATAAATAAACAAGTTCTCCGCAAGCAAAATTTAAATTGAATTTTGCAAAAAAAAGATAACCGAAACACGGTACTGAATTTGAGATTATAATTCGGAATTAAGTATTTTACTGATATTTTTTATTAGTGGATGCTACTTATTAACAAATCTCATATAGCCTTATATAAATTACAATTAAATATATATACGTAAAAAAATAACTATTCACCACAGTACTGAAATTTTGACTGGAACTATACGTGCATTCACCACAACTTCGCCGATTGCATTGTTTTCAAGATGACTGTCGTGCAAAGGGCGGGCTCTGTAGGTAATTGTTTACCAACACTTGAGTTAAAACGAGGACTTGACGTTTAAACTTCAATATTTCGCAGGAATTTTGAATTTTAACATTGGACACAGAACTGACGAAGTGAGTACAAAGATTATGAATTTTTTTAAAAATTGCTATTATTCGAATCTATAATAAAATATGAAAAATACATTTAATGTTTTATAGTTTGTAGTGAAATAGAAATATTTAAAATAAATTGAATATATATTTGATTTAGGAGTTGTGACACGCCAAGGTACTGATCTTTTGAATATTTATTATGTTTTTATACAAACGTGCTTTTGAAAAAATATATTAAAATTGGGTGAAAAAGTTAAAAAAAAAACTGGATCTTTTGTAATATACTAAAATATTTACAAAAAATATTAAAATACCTACTCTATTGACTGAGGACATCAAGTTGTCCAACTTTTGTAGAATCACCCATATCTTATAAGAAATACAAAATATGATTATGTACTATGCTCCACACCTCAAAGTCCCACCACGTGACCATGTACGGAACGCAGTCTTTTGAAAATTTGGCATTTAAGGCATTTCAGGTTATGTATCAGTCAAAGTATAGTCAATGAAAGAAATAATATTTATAGTGTTACCGCTTATGTTTAAGCGTTAAAAGTTAATAAATCTTTATAGTATCACAATAACAATGGTTGGTTTAAGAATTTAGGAATATAAATACTGCATTTAATGAAATTCCAAAGTGTAAGGTGCAATATAAGTTATATTTTTGTGCATTGGGTCTACATTTCTCCATAAAATAGTTTTAACTAAACAGCATTTATTAAAAAAATCTAACCTCTCTATTATGAATATCTGTATCAAAGGTAGGTTAATGTATACGAACAAAAAATATCATCTAATCTATTTTGACCAAAATAAATAAGTGGATTATTTGAAAGAGTTTGTTAATATGGTCATAAATAAATATAGGTATACTAAATAATTGTTGAATATAGTTCAAATTAAATTGAAGCTTTTATACTTCTAACGAAAACAAACAATTTTTAGAGAAAGTTGCAATGTGAAAATATTTAATACTCCCATGACGTGATTTATTAAAATTTTTAAAGTTATAATGATTTTTTGATGTAGATTAAATTCAGTCGAAGCTTTTTAACTATTTGTATTGACAAAACTTTATGTAGGTACACTTTAAGCTGGATAAGAAAAACTACCACATTTTTAAATACCATATTATACAGTCTTTTAAATAATCCAAAATACTTATCTATTTTGATAAAAATAAATTTTTCTAACCTTAAAATTACAAAATTAGATGATATTTTTGTTATAATATATTAACCTACCTTTAATACAGATATTCTTATTCCATAATAGAGAAGTTAGATTTTTTTAAATAAATGCTGTTTAGATAAAATATTTTATGGAGAAAACCCGATATTTGGACCAAATGCACAAAAATATTACTTATTTGGCACCATACACTTTAGAGTTTCATTAAATGCAGTATTTATATTCTTAAATTCTTAAACCATCCATTGTTATTGTAATGTTATAAAGATTTATACATTTTTAACGCCTAAACATAATATTATTTTTTTCGTTGACTATACTTTGACAGATGCATAACCTGAAAAGCCTTAAATGCCAAATTTTCAAAAGACTGCGTTCCGTACGTGGTCACGTGAGGTGTGGAGCATAGTACAAAATATGTTATAATATCATCAGGCAGGTCAGAAACCTAACGTAACTCACGTGTTTTCTCTTTAAATGTTGTTGCAGGTGCCGTGCAGTCGTATCTGGATGAGGGAATGTTCAACGGCAGCATCAGCAGTTACCCCTACTTCGAATTCAATGTGCCGCGAAACGTCACCACCGCCGTTGGACAGACCGCCTTCCTGCACTGCAGAGTCGAGCAGTTGGGGGACAAAGCGGTAAGTTCGCAATCTTTATGTCTTCGTTCGCTTCCTACTTCCTTCTTTCAGCAGTTCTGCAGGTTGGTATACATAGGTATGCGGAACCTACTAAATAGAAAATGGAGTTTATCGTGGCAACGATACTGTTTGTTTTACCTGCTGAACTTTGCCAGATAAGCAAGTTAAAAAACTAAAACACAGTTCAGATGTTTATAATGTCATTGATTTCAGCGGTATCAGGAAAATAAAAGTGAAATATCTTACATTTACGTTTATTTTAATATGTATTATTCTATTCAACTAAACTTAAGTTGTTATATCAAACATTTTAGGTATTAACTTCATTTTGTTTAAAATATCATCAGAGTTAAACTGTAAAGTGAAATGCCCGGTTATTTTAAAATATTTAACATTATATGGCACCAAACTTTTAAAACATAATAAAATTATGTAATTTTTCCTTAACAAATTTCTCACGCTTAAATTTGTGGTAATTTATGTTTAAAAGTTTGTATAAATTAAGAAAATTTTTTCCATATTAAAAACTATTTTATATTTTAAAAATTCAGTACATATTATACTAAACTAAACATTTCAAGAAAATATACAAATATGTACTATGCTCCACACCTCAAAGTCCCACCACGTACCACGTACGGAACGCAGTCTTAAAAATTTGGCATTTAAGGCTTTTCAGGTTATGTATCTGTCAAAGTATAGTCAACGAAAGAAATAATATTGTTTAGGCGGTAAAAATTTATAAATCTTTATAACATTACAATAACAATGACTGGTTTAAGAATTTAAGAATATAAATACTGCATTTAATGAAATTCTAAAGTATATAGTGCCAAGACTGTATAATATGGTATTTAAAAATGTGGTAGTTTTTCTTATCCAGCTTAATATGTACCTACATAAATTTTTGTCAATACAAATAGTTAAAAAGCTTCAACTGAATTTGATCTACATCGAAAAATCATTATAACTTTAAAATTTTTAATAAATCACATGTCAATGGGGTATTAAATATTTTCACATTGCAAGTTTCTCTAAAAATTGTTTGTTTTCTTATAATCTAACTTAAAGTAGGTATGCCGAGAGGTATGCACAAGTTTTGTCATTGGAAGTATAAAAGCTTCAATTTAATTTGAACCATATTCAACAATTATTTAGTATACCTATATTTATTTATGACCATATTAACACACTCTTCCAAATAATCCACTTATTTATTTTGGTCAAAATAGATTTTTCTAACCTTAAATACAAAATTAGATGATATTTTTTGTTCTAATACATTAACCTACCTTTGATACAGATATTCTTATTTCATAATAAAGAAGTTAGATTTTTTTTAATAAATGCTGTTTAGTTAAAACTATTTTATGGAGAAATTTAGACCCAATGCACAAAAATATCACTTATAGTGCACCTTACACTTTAGAATTTCATTAAATGCAGTTTTTATATTCCTAAATTCTTAAAGCAACCATTGTTATTGTGATACTATAAAGATTTATTAACTTTTAACGCTTAAACATAAGCGGTAACACTATAAATATTATTTCTTTCATTGACTATACTTTGACAGATACATAACCTGAAAAGCCTTAAATGCCAAATTTTCAAAAGACTGCGTTCCGTACGTGGTCACGTGGTGGGACTTTGAGGTGTGGAGCATAGTACATATAGACTGGTTTTATTATTAAATAAAAGGGCTCTTAAAAAACCCTCAAACACGTAAACTGAGATACAAGTTGAAGTATTTTTGTACAAAATTTCATAAAGATTGGTAAAGGCGTTTTAGAGTTAGAATTTTTTTACTTGTTATGCGTTAATTTTGACGTGCAGTGTACTTAAAACATATATTTTAAAATTTACTTATCAAAAATAACCTTTCCTAAATTGGCATCAGTGGGCCATTTTCAAGCCAACTCGTATAATTATAATTATTAACGTTTGTGCATGCTATGTACGGTAGACACACAGTTTGAGAGCAAACAAGTTTATACGTATTTTATTTAAGTACAGTTAGCGAGTCGGTTTGAGCCTTGAGCAGATGAGGGAATGAGCAATAAGTTTATGTTTATTTATGCCTCTATTTGCCAACCCCAATAAACAAGGTGTTCTTTCCACTTTTACTATTCTACCGTTTTCAGGTTACGCAACAAAACTTCTCCACTGCCTCCTTTACTGTTTCCAATTTGCACGTTGGGTTAAAAATGCATCTTGTTCTTTACATTAGACCTATAAAATTAAACATAAGGAGATATCTACAAAATTATTAAGCCATTATAAAAAAATCTTCTTTATTGTCTATCTTTATACTCGAAATAAAATATGAGGTACATATTTTTGTGTCAAAATTTGTACAGCAAAATTAATGTTTTCTAAGAAGTTATCCATTCACAGGTGGTTTTAATTAAATTTATTTATGACAACAAAAAACTAATTCCAAAAATTAAAATATATCCCTCGGAAGTATACTTTTAAGCCCACTGTATTAATTTCGCACTCAACAACTCGAATAAACACACACATCAAAAGAATTTTCGGCTCGTTCGTACAATAGGAAGCAACAAATGAGAAACAAAATACAACAAGCAAAAGACAATTTATTTGTTTGAGTTTTGTCGTTGAGAAATTGGTTTTTGTTTGGATATGAAAATGTTCGGGACAAATAAGAATTTAATACGTCCGTTGTCTGAATTCTCCTCTGCTTCCGTACGCCACGCTTAAGCAAATTTCTTCATAAATAATTAAGACCATAACATAAAATATAGTAGGTATAGTATTACCGTTTTATTACAATGTAGAGTAAGGTGGGGTAAGATTCCGATGTTGTTTTTATTACAAAATTATAAGCTTGGGGTTATTATATAGATCAGGAATTTTGATGGGATCATATACCTTTATACCTTTATTTATAAATGTTTATAATATTATAATAAATAATTAATTATATACCTTTAAACGGTTTTAAATTTAATGCTTGCTAAAAAAATTAAAACTTGTATAAAATTACCTTAAAATATTTAAGGGTGATTCTACAAAAGTTGGACAATTTTTGGCCCCATTTTGTTTATATAGTTTTCAGAGAAAATTAAACAGTATTTTGTTATGAGAACATAGATAATATAATAAATATACTGTTGTAGACCGGGCCAGTCACTTTTTCAAACAGTTTCTGAAATATCTGTGTTTTCTAAATTTAAATGCAAGATAAGTGACAAGTATACCAGGGTACTAATTAAATACATAATTTATTGAAAAATAAAAGATTTATTGCAACTTTGAGCATATTATACATTAAATATCTTAAAATCAAATAATACCACACATCAGTGGCGGCTGGTGGATTTTGGGTACCTATACCGATATCTCAATTTTTAGATATGGAACCCACACCAATTTTATATGAGTTTATAATGACTTTAAAATGACTTTAAATAAGTTCTGCGCAAGCAGAATTTAAATAGAAGTTTGCAAAAAAAAGATAACCGAAACATCGAACATGGAACTGACGACACGGTACTGATGAATGGGATACAAATTTGAGATTATAATTCGGAATTAAGTATATTTTTTATTAGTGGATGCTACTTATCAACTAATCACATGTGATTAGTTGATAAGTAGCATCCACTAATAAAAAATATACTTAATTCCGAATTATAATCTCAAATATGTATATAGCCTTATATAAATTACAATGAAATTAAATAACTACTCACCACAGTACTGAAATTTTGACTGGAACTATACGTGCATTCACCACAACTTCGCCGCTTGCATTGTTTTCAAGATGACTGTCTTGAAAAGGGCGGGCTCTGAAGGTAATTTTTTACCAACACTTCAGTTAAAACGAGGACTTACCGTTTAACTTCAATATTTCGCAGGAATTTTGAATTTTAACATTGGACATAGAACTGACGGGTAAAAGTGAGTACAAAGATTATCAATTTTTTAAAAATTGCTATTATTCGAATCTACGATAAAATATGAAAAATACATTATTTAATGTTTTATAGTTTGTAGTAAAATTGAAAAATTTAAGATAAATTGAATATATTTTAAAATAAAATCACTCAAATATTTGATTCAGGAGTTGTGACACGCCAATGTACTGATGTTTTGAATATTTATTATGTGTTTATACAAACGTGCTTTTGAAAAAATACATAAAAATTGGGTGGACAAGTTAAAAAAACCTGGATCTTTTGTAATATACTAAAATATTTACAAAAAATATTGACTGATGACAGTCAAGTTGTCCAACTTTTGTAGAATCACCCTTAAATAGAATGCAATACTTTTAATACGAAATAACTCATAACTCTAATATCTATCTAAAGAATTATAAGTATATAACCTTGTTATAATTTATTAAAATTAAAAAGTAAATTTTATCCCCTAAAAATATATTTTATCAAAAACATAAGTTGATCGTAAACGTTATTTGTACGATACTTCATTAGCAGTTAAGTGTTCTTCCAAACTAGCAAATAGAGCCCCAGGAAATTTGTCGCATGCTCTGTGGTTGACGAAAGCCAATAGGATATTGAGACTGTATATTTCCACGAGTGATCCGTATGAAAATTGCCATGTTTGTTGTCAGAGTTTGGTCTAGTCAACAGCAATTTGTATCTGGGACATTAAATTTTAACAGTCAATTCCCATGTAAAATTGTCCACTGAATCTGAAAATGTTGTCAAAAGTTCTAAAAGTAGAAAAGTTTTTGGGATATAGTCAATTTTCCCTTGAATATGGACGGTTGACGGTTGATTGTATTTTCGGATTCAGCGTACAATTATTCATAGGAATTGACTGTTAAATATGCTGGATATAAATTGATGTGGACTACAGTTAGAGGAAAGTCGCCTAATTTCAGATACCTTTTCAAAATAATCAAAATTATTTAGATAAAATAGTTTTTAATGCTTTACCCATTGGCTAGTATACAATGCATTGCAAAGAAATTTTAATATTAAAACATTTTTATTACTATTACTTAT